AAATATATTATCATTTACTAAAGAGAGAGAAAAATATAAAACCAAAAGAGATAAGCATATACGCTTATAGCAGAAGCTAACATGGAAGGATACAATGTAGTTTGAAGATATAACAAGTGTCCTTTAGATGGCATCAAGGGACATGCTTTAGTTTCTTCACCACATCATGGAAAGGATCTGTGGTGCCAGTGTTAGCCAGAAGACAAAACCCTTGGTAAAAGCCTTTTATTTTCAGAGATCTGAGTGCAGATGGAAATCTAATGTTGACCTCTTGGCTTTACGTGAGTTGTTGCAGCACACGGATATCAGAATACTCAGAGCAAGAGCCCAACTTCTCTGGCACACTATCTTTTGGACAGGGTCATTGTCACCCAATGCCCAAGAACATCTTCCTGGCTCTCCCTGCAGACAAATTTCTCTGTCCTCTGGTCTCTTTTTCCCATAGCTGCAGGGATTACTTAATGACACAACTGTGTTTCATCCTGTTATTCTCTGTAGAGGGTCTCGGTTATCTCTTTAGTGAGGTCTACACTCTTCAAGTTCATATTCAAAGCCATTGCCAGTGGACACTTCCTCCCTCCCTCTTTTTTTTTTTTTAATTTTTTTTTCAACGTTTATTTATTTTTGGGACAGAGAGAGACAGAGCATGAACGGGGGAGGGGCAGAGAGAGAGGGAGACACAGAATCGGAAACAGGCTCCAGGCTCCGAGCCATCAGCCCAGAGCCTGACGCGGGGCTCGAACTCACGGACTGCGAGATCGTGACCTGGCTGAAGTCGGACGCTCAACCGACTGCGCCACCCAGGCGCCCCATCTCCCTCCCTCTTTTTAAGTGCACCCCGGTGACCCCTCTGTTCTAGAGCTGGTTTCTCGTTTCAACTTCTGACCTGTCTGCCACCAAGAAGACGATGATGGTCTTCTCCCTGACAGACCTTTGATTATTCTCTGCATGTGATTTTATCAGATAGACCTTGGTTCAAATCCTGACTCTTCACCTTATTAGTTGTGTAATCTGGGACAATTCCTTAATCTCTGTCAATTTTGGTGTCCTCATCTGTGAAATAACAATAATAAGGTGGTAATCTATGCAAACTGCAAGCACAGTTCCTGCCTATAGGTAGAGCTCTATAATTTACAACTATAACTACCATCATTATTTTGTCAATCTTTTTCTATCTTGACATTTCTCTTAAGATTCCCAGAGCTAATTATTCCCTTCTTCTCCCCTCCCTTATTCTCTTTGCATTCTGGACCACATGATAATACACTCTTTATTCACTAATTATTTTTTAACTATTTTCCATTTATCTCAGTATATATGTGTTTCTTTTCCCTCCCAACTGAACAAGAACAGAGACTTTTTTCATTCCTTTCCCACCTCCCTGGGACCTCATTTTATTGTTGGAAATACATTAAATGCATAGTGAATTGACAAAAAAGAATTCGAAGGGCTTCATTGGTTATCACATTGACCATGCTAAACAAAGGCCAATTTTTGTAAGGGAAGCTGTGATTACTCAAAATCCTGATTTGGAAGTAAGGCCAAGGGTGAATTCTAAACAAATAAATAAAGGAGAATTATCTTGGACACTGAAACCGTAAATGTATTCTGAATGTGAATTGTCCATTTCCATTGTGTCTGTGGCCCCAGTGCTCTATATAAAAGCCCCAAGATCGAAACAAAATGAGAATTTAAAAGGCTTAGTTCAACTTCCAACAAATCCACAGAATTTCAGTCATTAACAACCGACTATATCATACTAGAGAACTATAGAAATACTATAGGATATTAATACTGATATTTTTAGGATGTTTTCAGGAAATGGAAGTAGGAAAATGCATGCCTGTCTGGCATGGAGGTAGAGCCAGAACTTTTCCTTCTTAAAATCATAGAAACCCTGTTACTATATAGCCATTGGAGGAATAAATAAATAACAACCACTTACAGGCACCAACTGCATGAAGGACATAGTGTATATTAATTCTTTTAATCTTTACAACTCTATCAAATCAGTACTTTTTTAAAAAAATATTTTTAAGTTTATTTATTTATTTATATATAGAGAGAAAGAGCATGAGCAGGGGAAGGGCAGAGAGAGAGGGAGAAAGATAATCCCAAGGAGGCTCTGCACTGCCAGTGCAGAGCCTGACATGGGGTTCAAACTCACGAACCATGAGATCATGAATGAAATCAAGAGTTGGATGCTTAACCAACTAAGTCACCCAGGTGACCCTGAAATCAGTACTTTAATTATCCCCATTTTGCAGATGGCAACTGAGGCAAGGTCCTACAGCCCATGAAGGATGGAGGCAAGCTCTGCCCCACCAGGTGCAGTCAGGTCTGCCTGACTCAGAACCTGGGCTCCCCAAGATGGGGCTGCACTTCCCTTCTCAGCTGCTCAGACTTGTGGAGGCAGAAGTGGATTGATGGACTTTTCAGAAATATTACTGCATTTTTCCTAGTGAATTGACTGGACTTATTGTTATGGCCACATAACCTCATATGGATGCTGTCCTTTCTGTAGGAGTGGAATATGCCTCAATTTCCTTATCTATGCAATAGAAATAATAGCATAACCTATCTTAAGAGTTATTGACAGAAACAGATGAATTCCTACAGGGGTAAATACCATATATGCAATCTCTCTTTTTGTGGCTATCATCATTATTGTCATAATTTTACTCTGACACAACTGTGAGAATGACACTCATGCCTTTCCACACATGCCACTTGCTAGGGATTTGCCTTATTTCTAGGTCTGTGGCTGCATCATGTCAGAACATGTTTGGAATTGGGGTGGGGGCTGAGGAAGCATCTGGGAACTGAGCAGAGGTTGTAGGGACCATGCTCTTCTACTGTGCAGTGGTAATAATAATTGATTTTGATGAAAATTACATACATTGTAGAGTTTGTTTAATGTAGATACATTGACCAATCAGTCAATCAATCTTGGTAGGACAGAAAGGATGAAAAGATGAACGCTCCATAGTTTTCCAAGCCTTTGAAACAAAGAATTCCCGCTGTCCTAAACCTAGAGAAATGGAGACCGGGTGTAGTGAAGGTCAAGCAGCAAAGGAATTGGACTGGAAATGCATAGTTGCAGGTGAGTCTCAGGACCTGAGGTATCTCCTTTGCCTTAAAAGAGCTGCTAATGCATCTCTCTTACTCCAAGTCATATTTTGTCACTGACAGGTTCTGTGGTGCCCAGCTTTGCCCACCCCTCTAAAAGCCATTTGCATGTTCCCAGATTCATTAACTGCCTTTTTAACAATCACTCATTCACAACAATTTCCACGGTACTCACTGAATGGGGACCATAGGAAGAAGGGCCCACCCAACCAGAACTCATTAAGCATAAATCCAACATAAATCTCACAAGAGTAGGCATTTATAAGAGAGGCAAAGATGAAGTGCCAGTGTTTAAGAAGCTCACAGGTAAAGGAACTACCCTTTTCTATCAAGTTAGTGACCAAACCAAGTGGCTTTGCTCTCTCAGAACATTCGAGACTCAACACCTCTACAGTCTGTCTGGTGCTTCTGAAATTGCTGTGTGGATATGAATCACCTGGGGATTTGGTCAAGTGCAGATTCTGATTCTGGGGGTCAGTGGCAGGCTTCAAGTTTCTGCATTTCTAACAGGCTCCCAGCTGATACTGATGCTGTCGGTCCACAACACACACTTTGAGTAAGAAGTCTCAGACTGTGTCCTAAATATCACCTAATTCTGTCCCATTTCAAATGTGATTATGAATGTAAGGGGTTACCATACATGGGCACTTTTCCTCTCTCTTTGATCACAAGCTTCTTGAGGACAAGGCCTGTCTCCTCCTCCTTTTCAAATTCTGCACAGCAGGTGCTCTATAAATATAGTTGATTGGCAGCCTGTTCAGTACGGCACAAAAGCCCCTTCTGCTCGCTGCCAAGATATCAAGAACCGTCCGCTGGCACTCCAAGGGCAGCTTTCTTCATCTGCACTACCCACAGGGAACACTATGTCTCCCATTGGCGACCCTTCTGCTGGCTGAATGCTGTGAGGCATTCACCCAACCCCATCATTTCTTAACAAGGGCAGGAGAGCAATTAGGCTAGAGTTTTGGCCCTCAGTGCCGGTACAACCTTGGCCTTTCTAAGGAATTCCCCCTCTCAAAATCTGGGTTGCATTTCTTAGCACATAACCCTCAATCAGCCATGCTAACTCCACGGTCAACTAGCTTAGCCCTGTCCTAACTGTCAGGAGGCACTTGGCCTTGGGAAACTCTCCAAATCTTTAGATTTGGAGCAAAGGTTATTTATTGAAGTGAGGCCCTTCTCTACTTCTGCTAATTCAAAAACCAAAAGGCAAATTTTTCAGAACTTTTCTGCCAGGTGAATAAAGTAGGATTTTTGTCCATCTCTTTCATCCTCCCCCGTTGTCTTGATTAGGAAACATACAGACAGGATGGAGTAAAGGATATACAAGGGATGTAACTTTTTTTTGAATAAAAGGAAGAAACTTGGAAACCCAGAAAGTAATAAGTCCAAGGAAATATAATATATATATTTATAAATATATATATATATAAATATATATATATGTATATATTTATAAATATATATTTATATTTAATGTTTATTCACCTTTGAAGGAGTAAGAGACAGAGCATGAGCAGGGGAGGGGCAGAGGGAGACATAGGATGCAAAGCAGGCTCCAGGTTCTGAGCTGTCAGCACAGAACTCTACGTGGGGCTCAAACCCATGAGCTGTGAGATCGTGACTTGAACCGAAGTCAGACACTTAATCGACTGAGCCAACCAGGCACCCCAAAATGTTTTTGTGGACAACATAAAAATTAATTAGATTCTGAACCAGCAACTAAAGTTACCTCGTGCTTCCTTAGGCAAGGACGGCTGTTCTTTGATCCTTTCTAGTTCACAGATATAGACTTACCCTCCCTCTGCAACACTGAAGCGTTTTCAAAGGGCTTGATCTATTTATGGTGGATTTTTCCTATGACCACCTACTGTAAGAAGCACAGGTATGCCACCAATGGCATGTCTGCACAGCGAGTGCCAGGGCACTCTAACTGACGGGCACTGGTGGCAGCTGCTAAACACACAGCCCGTATGTGGCCTCTGGGGTCTGCTGAAAGACCAGGAACCCAGAAGCTCCATAAATGGTCTGCTTTCTCCGATGTAATCCATTCCTGTTTTCTACAATCAAGGGTTCCATGGTCAGTAAATTAAAGGGGGGAAAAAAACCAACTCAGGTCTTAGGAGGCATTAACTGACCTGCCTCTCTCTATGTATGTGTCTCTACACCAAAATGATATAAACATCCCAGCTCTCTCCTTCCCATGGGCTCACTGACTCAGATAATACATTGTTTGGCTTCTTTAAAAATGTTTTTTGGGCTCTCAGGTGCAGTTTAATTTAGCCTTTTGATAGCATGGAGAACACAATTACATCCTATGAATATGTTGCAGAGGCATAGAAAAGACAGGAAGAACATGTAATAACACTTGTTATGTTATCATCGAGTGGTAGAATTACAGGTCTTTTTTTGTGGCTTTCCTTTTGTCACTTTTTTGGATAAAATAATTGTGCTAAAACCATCCTTTGGTAATTTTCTGTGCGGGAGAAAATTGTTATGTTGTTCCTCATTATGTATTCTCAAAGTCACATTCTTGGTTTGAAATAAAATATGTGAATGTGGGGCGCCTGGGTGGCGCAGTCGGTTAAGCGTCCGACTTCAGCCAGGTCACGATCTTGCGGTCTGTGAGTTCGAGCCCCGCGTCGGGCTCTGGGCTGGTGGCTCGGAGCCTGGAGCCTGTTTCTGATTCTGTGTCTCCCTCTCTCTCTGCCCCTCCCCCGTTCATGCTCTGTCTCTCTCTGTCCCAAAAATAAATAAAAACGTTGAAAAAAAATTAAAAAAAAAATGTGAATGCTTTATATATTGTAAGCATCGTGGTGAATGAGGCTTTATCTGGCAGACTTCTGTTTTGTCATGTTTGGTAGTATAGCAAATTATCTTTCTTCCCAGGTTAAATATATAAACATTGTCAGGTATATCCCCTGGTGATAGTGGGATCTGACACTGTGTGCATGTTGCAGCCTATGCCCAGCACAATGGAAACTGCTTTAGTATAAAATATTATTTGTAATGGAGGTGTTCATAATACTTAGAGAAGTTTTAATTATATGAATTATAACTGTCACCAAAACTATCAGCAAACACAATGACGATGCCTTTTGTACTGGCCATATTCCTTAGACATCAGAATCTAGGTTTGAGAAATAAATTAATGTTTAATCTAATGTTTTTACAGTTAGATGCTTAATTTGTTCCCTATTATATTCATTATAGGCTGTGGGTGTGGATATCTTATACCTTGGGATTTAGGGATTTGGGATTAGACATTTTTTAGAGGCAATTCTTTATTGGTTTATAATAGTGATTCTTAGAGTATGATCTGGGATCCTTGAGAGCACCTGAGACATTTCTGGGGAGTCCACAAGGTCACAACTATTTTCATAATAATACTAAGACATTATTTGCCTTTTTCATTCATATTCTCTCACAAATATGCAAAGGATATATAATGTGTGATGACATCAACTCTCTGACAACTAATAGAACATGTGCTGTGTATTTTTATCTCTTAAAAATTTATCAGTTTTAATTTCTAATACAGTATATATTGATAGATATAATGTGTGTAGGCTTTTTAGTTTCTCAATAGTTATTAAGTGCCAATGTATCTGAGACCACAAAGTTTGAGAAACATTTAGAATTTATGATAAATCTTCTTAAAAAATTATTTTGTGCGTGGACACTTAAAAAAATAAACTTATGCCATATGCCTCATTCAGGAAAAATCTGTAGCCTTGATGAATTAAATGAATGAAGCAGTCAAAATAAAAACTATAAATTGGTTTGGTGGGCTTAAATATAACTTATTTTCCTATGTGTACAATAATGGAGACAATAATAGAGACAAAATACTGTCTGGTAATACCTCCCCTATTCAGAATTCAGCTATCTAGCAACCTCACTTATCCAGAGAACAGCTGCTGACCAGTCAATTTAAAAGGGTGTCCAAAGAGCAAAATGGATTTGTTTCAAGTTTCTCAAGCCCTGGGCACTAAAAGCCTAAGTGCTTGATTCACAAGAGAGCCCACCCAGGTCCTTAACAAGCCTGGGAATTGGGACTCTGGTGAGGCAGGCCAGGGGTGGGATTTAAGGAGGCACTCACTCACAAGTGCCAACTCGACCCTTGCATGACTCTGAGAGTGCGTGCCTCCTTAAACGTGATGCCCTAGGTGCCTTGTGGACACTCCACAGTGTAGCCCCACTCAGGGGGATTCCAGAATCCCCCTGGGGTCCACAGAAAAGAGAGGGGGACAGCTTAAAATACTGCCTGACAAGAGTAATAAAAGAAGATAGTGGACTTCTAGCAAGGGATGAAACAGGAGAGCTATGGAAAATTGCATTCAAAATGCAAATAATATGATTCTAATTAATACAAAAGCAAGTAATTTGGGCTCTCAAGGCGTCACGTGGCACAATAACTGACATCTATAATTTCAGACAAAGTTATTTCCACTGTACTTTGGTTTCTTTAATTAATTAATTAATTTATTTATTTATTTTTGAGAGAGACAGAGAGAATGAGAGCAGGGAGGGGCAGAGAGAAAGGGAGAATTTCAAGGAGGCCCTGGCTGTCAGCACAGAGCCTGATGTGGAGCTCGAACTCATGAACCATGAGATCATGACCTAGACTAAATCAAGAGTTGGACAATCACCTGAGCCACCCAGGCACCCTTGTACTTTGTTTTTAAAAGTAAGAAGTAGGGGCACCTGAGTGGCTCAGTTGGTTAAGCATCTGACTCTTGATTTCGGCTCAGGTCATGATCTCACATTTCTGTGAGCTAGCAGCACAGAGCCTGCTTGGGATTCTCTCTCTTCTCTGCCCCTACCCTGTGCATACATGCATGCATGCACACTCTCTCTTTCAAAATAAATAAAAATTAAAAAAAAAAAAAAGCAAGGAGTAAAATGTTACATTGAAGGCATGTTTCTATCCAAATTGGTTGAAATAATACGGTTTGAGAACAAAATAAACTCTGAGATTCCAAGGAGACCGGCTATTCAGAATGCTTCAGTCAATTAAATCCATATTCATTTACTGTGGCTAAATATTGCCAAAAAATGTATTCTAAGGTTCTGAATACATGAAGTCTACTTGTGCATCAGGTATGCAAATTTTCAATGACTCATTATTCAGCTTGATGGAATTTCCCTGAACCCACAGGATTTTTTCCCCTTTCCTTGTAGAATTATTTTTTATAAGATTTTAGTTTTAAGTAATCTCTACACACAGTGTGGGGCTTGAACCCACAACCCTGAAGTCAAGAGTTGGCAGCTCTTCCGACTGAGACAGCCAGGTGCCCCCTCACCCCCACCCCAACCTCCAGTCAGGTTGGTCTTATGTCTTTCTAATTATGCATGTTTCAACTTCGGAATGTCATTCCACACAGGAAAAGAATTGAAATAGGGTTAGAATTGCACAGCAACAAATAGCTTCTCACTGTTAACATGGGGCTGGATTAAAATGAAGCCTTTTGCTAAGATCTGATGACTTGTTTCTTTAGCGTGATTCTTACCATATTTGAAGTAAGAGTCAAACGGGGGTTAAGTGGCATAGATGGGGTGGAGGTGGTGTGGGAAAATCTTTACTCAAATTGAAAAAGTTTAAAAATTTAGCACAGGTCACAAGGAAATTATTGCAAAAGTGATTCAAATTGTTAACAATTTCCCCTTTTAGTCCCTTATTCTGCCTCTCCCGGGGGTCTGTTCCTGGGCAGACCATCACCACAATCACAGCACTCTCATGTGGTTATTCGGTTATCAGATAAATCCCTTAAAGGCCTTGCCCCAACGCATTGCTGGGCCTCCGATTGGGTGACTTTTTAAAAATAGAGGAAGGACAGGCCTGATGCCAGGTGGGGTCATAAAAATAAAATTCCACAGCAGTAAACACAGTGGCACTCAATCAATCACAACCATATGTGGTCATGGAGAGTTCTTTATGTGACTATCTCAGAAATACTCAGACCTGGAAGACCCCACCTGCTAAACGCACCCCTGTGGGGAGAGAAATCTTAATGTTCCACAAACCCAAGCCTTTCAGCCGTTGGTGGCGGATATAGTTACATGTTCAACTGCACAGGGTGACTCTTTCAACTAAGTGGGAAAGGCCATGCTCCCACAACGGAACAGTGGAGAAACAACTGGTTATCTTCGTCTGTTTAACAACTGGAGACCCCTAAGTGGACATGATATATTTCAGTGGGAACACAACATAGGCTCTGGAGTAGAGACCTCTTATTTTATCTGGGCTTCTGTGGGTGAAAACTAAGATGATTCACCCCAAGTTAAAAAAGGAAATTCTCATGGCAGTGGCAGTGATGGCTATGATAATAACAGCAACTTCTTTGGAAGATATTATAAATATTAACAATAGTTATTAAATAAATATTAAGGAGAGGAGCAGGGTTATTATGTACCTTACAGTGGTTGTTCCATGTTGGTGGAAATGCCCTCAAAGTTTATGTTAAGGGTAAGGCATTTAACACCTTATGCCAGATTCTGAGTTCGCTGTTTTAGAAGGAAAATACTTAAGTTCTTACATGGTAGGTCCTATTCTGAGCTTTTTACTTTATTTATCTTATTTCCTTCATGCAAAGACCTAATGGGTCGGGTACTATTATTATTCACATTTCACAGAGGAGGAAACTGAAGCATATGAAGTGTAACTAACTCAATACATGGTACAGCTGGAACTTGAACAGCCTAGAATGTTCTATGAATAGTATACCTTGTTTATGTTACTGTGTTTAATAATGACTATGACTTAATATGCATAAGGGAAAAGCCAAAATACTATGCAGAATAATTCTAAATCCATCTAACTTTTAAAAATGAGAAATGAAAAGAAAGAATTATACAAATATATTATTTTTAAGTTACAAGTAGAGCATTCTGTTGCAAGATATATAAAATTTTATAAAATGCAGAAGGTAATATCTGATACAAGCAAAGAATTCTGAGGAGTTTGAAAAGAGATTTGATACTGTTTACAGGAAGAATTGGATGATTTTGGAGAAAAAGAAAAACATTTTCTAGCCTAGGTTCTTGCAAATATCTATAG